AGTATCTTAGCATTTTTTCTTTAAATCTACCCATTGTTTCTACTTAAATTTACTTTAAAAGTTAACTTTATATTCCTGTCATAAGAATTAAAGAAACAGCATTCCTTGCGATAAATATAAAATAAGCATAAAAATGCAGAGACCACAAAACAGTCCCACTGGAGCCTGCCTGCCACAGCTCTGAGCGTGGGTCCTCTCTCTGAGGAGCTCGACGGGCAGAGGCGCTGGAACACACTAGGGCAGAGACTTTCTCCTCCAGCCAGCAGACGCCAGAAGGAGCGACGAAGTGGGAGTTACTTCTGGTGCTGTCTGCGGTCCTGTCCGTGGACCGCCCCACACCGCCCTCCTCCCACCACAGGCAGGTCCTGTCCCGTTCTCTGGGCAAGTCTGACTGAGGAGAAACGGGCCCGGCCCTCAAGGCCTAGAACAAACACCTCCTCCTCCATAAAGCCAATTCTCATCAGCTCTGTCAAAAGGAAGTTCTCTGGCCCCTGGCCTCCAATGGCATCCTTACCATCAGTTTGGTACCTGGCCTCAAGCAACAAGGCAGAACAGGACTTTTCAGGGACATATGCTCCTGCAGGACTTGTCTCCAAGAGCACAGGGGCTGTCGCCACGTCCATGTTTCCCTTGGACACTCGTCCATCATTGTTAATATCGGAGATGTTGCAAGTACATTCCGGAATGTACTTTCTCAACTTTTCTTGTAAAAGCTTAATGGGACAGATTCTAAATTATCCGATGGCTTTATTCATAATCACCCCACAATGACTTCTTCCTACCGATGACCTTTTGCTTGTCTTTGCATCCTAAATAAATAGACTCACCAGTGTGTCCTCCTCTACATCTGGCTTCTTTAATAGAGGGACCATTTTAAGAAGAATGGCCATCTGGCCTAGCTTAAAGCTGCCTTGTGGCTTCCCGCTGCTCCAGCGTGGCTGCCTGGGCCCTATGTGGCGTGACCCCTGCCCGACCCTCCAATCTCACCTACTTCTCCTCTCTGTCCCCATCCTCCACCACACTTTCTGTTCCTTAAACCACCAAAGGCCTCTGTCACTTCTGAGCTTTTGAACTTTGTTTGGCTGCCTCCTCTGCACCCCTCAGGTCTTCGCTCAAACGTCGAGGTACCTTTGCTGACCCACTAAGGTGGCCTCTCTCCCTATGGGACATCACCCCGTGTTTCTTTCCTAGCATTTGTCACCATTGATGCTGCCTTGCTCAGTTATTTGAGTGTCTATCTCTCAAACTGGATGGTGGGTTCCATGCAAACAGGGGCTCTCAGTCTTATCCACCATGAGAGCCAGCGAACAGCGCTGGCCCCACCAGCTGTTCAACAAAAGCTGCTGAAGGAGAGGTGTTCACCGGAGAGAGAAACAGTGCAGGGAGGCCTCACAGGGTTAACACGGGTGAAAATACAGACCAGAGCCATTGGCATCCATGACACTAAACTAAATGCCAGGCTTCCCAAGGGCCAGCAGAACACCAGAGACAAACGTTCCAGCTACAGCAGTAACAGGCGGAAGCACAGCCGTCAGCATCTCCTTCACGTGCGCTGAGCAGGCACGCACCCAGGTAAAGCGCTTGCTCACTCGTCTAAGCACCTACTGAGCACTGGATGTGCCTGGAGAGAACCAGCCCTCAGACACGCCAGGAGGGCAGAGGATTCTCAGGGCAGTGGAAAGACTGTGTGGCACTATGATGACGATGACACGTGCCATTATACATCTCTCCAAACCCACAGAATACACAACACCGAGTGACCCCTAATGTAAACTGTGGACTCTGGGTAATGCCAGTGTGCCCCTGGGGGTTCATACTTTAACGAATGTGCCACTCTGGTGGGGATGTTGGTAACAGGGAAGACTATGCACATGTGTATGGGCAGGGCAGAGGGAATATGGGAAATCACTTACTTTCCTCATAATTTTACTAACCCTAAAAATACTCTAAAAAAATAAAGTCCTATTTAAAAAAAAAAGAAGAGGAAAACCTCACAGTCCAGTGGGGAAGCCACCACATAGCTGAGGTCAGTGGGATCACACAGCGCAGGGAACGGTGATCACTCTGGACAAAGGTTCCCAGGAAGGACCCTCCAGGCTGGCAGGGCAGAGGGAACAAGGCACAGCGTGCTCTGAGCTGGCAGCAGCAGGGACATGGAAGCACAGACCCAGCTTCCAGCAGTGACAAGCTACGGGAGGCTTGTAAACAGAGAAACACTAACTAGATCCACGCTTCAGAAAGAAGTGGAGGACACTGAAATCACATGTGGAGGGCAGGACCCCACGCCATCTGTTTCCTCAGCCACTGAGAAGAGCCGACACATGTCACCCACTCACCGTGTGACAGACTTCTGCTCGTATCTCCTTCAAGGCTCGTTCAGAAAACACGCAGCCACAGCAGCGCAGGAAGCAAAACCTGGAGGAAAAATGTGATATGGAGAATGACTTACATGAAAATTTAAAAATTATTACCCACACTATCAATGGACATGTGTTCAGTTTACTCAAAGGCCAAGAACTACAAAGAAAAATGGTTCCATTTGATTATATTTATATATATATAAATTAAAACCACACAGTCCGCAGTCCCATCCCCACACCCTTGCTATAAGCCTTTAGAATAAAGTCTCTCCTATAGATAAAAATAAATAAATACATTTTTAAAAGTACTACAAAAAGCAGAATAAAAAGACAAAAAACAGAATAGGAACTCAGAAAAAAATATTTTAAATACATATGTGATTCAGAGTTTATGAATATTAAAAGAGGTACTGAAAAACAGTAACAGCCTGGCTGGTGTAGCTCAGTGATTAAGCGTCAACCTATGAACCAGGAGGTCACAGTTCGATTCCCAGTCAGGGCACATGCTTGCGTTGTGGGCTCGATCCCCAGTAGGGGGCCTGCAGGAGGCAGCCAATCAATGATTCTCTCTCATCACTGATGTTTCTCTCTCTCTCCCTCTCCCTCTCCCTTCTTCTCTGAAATCAACAAAAAAAAATTATTAAAAAAGCAATAATAAACAATAAAATAAAAAAATGGACAAAGGCCAGTAACATGTGGCTCACAGAAGAAATATAAATGTCCAACACACATAACAGACGCTTAAACTCAACAGTTAAAGAAATGCTCTTCAGAACAGTGACAGAATGCTTTCCCTCTCAGGCCGAAATGGATTCTGGGGGACGGTAATGTGTGGCAAGTGTGAGGAAACAGCACTAGTGGGCCGGGCGTACAATGCGGCCCACACACAGGAGGACGGTCTGACAGTGTCGGGTAAAGCGTCGAGCTCCAGAACCTCCTTGTGCTTACGGAGCTGGTAGTACAGACAGCACTGCCCGGGACAGGGAAGCCGAGGAGCCACCTGAACGGTCACGGGTAGGGGATGGCGGACAAGCGATGAGCACTCAGGCAGCTCCTACAAAGAATAAGGTGACTCTGCAAGGCCATGAAAACAAGTTCAAATCCAAGAAGTAGGAAAAAAAGTTACAAACTGTGTAATCTGACTCTACGCAGAGGTGGAGGGAAGCATGGCATGTTGGCGCTGGGAGGGTCTGCAGGGCCATTAAACAGTAAACAGCTAATAAAGCTGCTCTGGGGGCGAGGATTGGGGGAAACGGGCAAAAGCACTTTCACATTTTACTTTACATATTCCTCTAAAATCACCACAGAAGGTTCTCCAGTTTCCTAGGGGTTATAGCAGCTGCAGACTGCCCTAACAAAACCCGACTCATAACACTGTACTAAGTTCACTAAATGTTGTTTAGGACCAAAAAAAATCCTATTTCATGGATGCTTACTAATTATTAGTAATTGAGGAAATTATTTGTTAAACAAAGGCTCAACTTTTTATTGTACAACTAATAAATTTATATTTTTCTATATATTTAAATCTTTACTATACGAACTTTACTAAACAGACAGACAAATCGACTTTCTTGTGCAAAAGCCCTATTAATAGGAGGGCAGAGCCGAACAGGGGAAGCCCAATTACCTGGGAAGTGAGAGAAGAGCAAAGGAAGGGAAAAACTGGGAGAAGCTACAACCAGAGCAACAGCTCCCGGTAATCCCTGCTCGAGACCCTGGAGCTGTGTTTGCTTCTGCGAAGTTCCTCTTTTGGGGTGAACCATGGCTTTTTTAAAAAGAAGTGGGAAGCTAGACACAAAAGGTTACACACTCTATGCTTCTATATTTATACTAGAGGCCCGATGCACGAAATTCGTGCAAGAGTAGGCCCTCACAGCACCAGCTTCATCTGGAAGGTCATCTGAATGGTAGTTCCGCTGTTCGGCCATTCAGTTGATTTGCATATTACGCTTTTATTATTATAGATGGAATATCCAGAACAGGTAAAACTGTTGAGACAGAAGCAGGTAGGTGATTGCCAGGAGCTAAAAGGAGGGGGATTAGGTACATGAGTCTGGTTCCCGAATAGTTCCTACTTGACCCAAATGGTGAATGTTAGCTTTTATTTTATTATTTTCCAGCTTTATTTAGGTGTAATTGAGGACTAGGAATTGTGCATATTTAAGGTGTACAACCTGATGATCTGATGCATGTCTACACTGTAAAATGATCAGCACAGCAGGCTGAGTAACAACCGCTACATGCTGAAGTTTGAGAGCGAGGCTGAGAAGATTTACATTCAGACTACTTGAAGAAGAACAGAATCCTCGGCTATTCCGCCTCAGCAGAGGTGATGCTCTCTGGCATAGCTGGCCACACACAGCACATACGTCTGTTAGACGAATGTATACAAATGTGCCAGAAAGCCCCAGACAAAATGTGGTTGTTTACAGCTCAGTAAAAGTTTCACTTACTTGAGATGCTTTCTTCCCCCTTTCCTGAATAAAAGTAGTAAAAATTACTACTTTTCAACATGTAATGTGTTACATGGAAGATTCTGTCTAGACGACCAGCTATTGAAAATATTTCTAAATGGTGGGAAAAGAGTTTAGAGCTTTGGCTTAGAGACTCCCTATACAAAGACACCTACAGAGTCAATCAACATTCATATTTTTTAAGGGAGAAATACACAAGGCACTTACATTTTCAATATAAATCTCAACCTTGCCGAAACCGGTTTGGCTCAGTGGATAGAGCGTCGGCCTGCGGACTGAAAGGTCCCAGGTTTGATTCCGGTCAGGGGCATGTACCTGGGTTGCGGGCACATCCCCAGTGGGGAGTGTGCAGGAGGCAGCTGGTCGATGTTTCTCTCTCATCGATGTTTCTAGCTCTCTATCTCTCTCCTTTCCTCTCTGTAAAAACTCAATAAAATATATTAAAAAAAAAAAAAAAAAAAAATAAATCTCAACCTTAAGATTTCTGGTACTCTAGCTAGAGTATTTTGGGCTACAAATTCAAATCAAGTAATTATCAGCTGGGCCTTCAGCTGACCGACCAACCACATATTCTGTAACACTGTACCCACTGAGTAATTTTTAGCAATGACGAGGAAATGGGATGTTTGATAGGAAACATCTGCCCTTTGCTTTCTTTCCCATAGGAAGAGATCAGATAACCCAACCCAAGTCTCATAAGCATCACTTGCCCTAGCTGGTTTGGCTCAGTGGGTAGAGCGTCAGCCGGCGGACTGAAGAGTCCCAGGTTCAATTCCTGTTAAGGGCACATGCCTGGGTTGCGGGGTCACTCCCCAGCAGGGGGCGTGAAGGAGGCAGCAGAGCAATGATTCTCTCTCATCACTGATGTTTCTATCTCTCTCTTCCTCTCTGAAATCAATAAAAATATATTTTTTTAAAAAAGCATCACGAGAGAAATGTTTAAAATCCCTCTTTACTGCAGGTTCTCCTGCTCTCGAGAACAAAGGTGAGTGCACTTGGACGCCACATCAGTGGACTTGGCTGACAGGGCATGAACCATCCAAACCGAAGAGCACCTTACAGAGTCTGTGTGATCATGAGGCCGAGGCACGAGCCCCACAGCACCAGGTCACTTCAGCAGACTGACCTGTGCCGGCCATTCATCTCCAAGCCCACGACCGGGCAGATGAAACGTGCGCGCTGGAGGTCATCATGCTTGTCTCCTTTTGTGTTTCCTTTATCCCCTTCCCAGGCGGGATTGTCGGAAAGCCTTAGTTCTGTCACATTCTGTGAAAAACCATACATATTTTAAGAATTCATTTGATAAGTGGATCACCCTTCCCTTAATACCACCTAAGTCAGTGGTTCTCAACCTTCTGGCCCTTTAAACACAGTTCCTCATGTTGTGACCCAACCATAAAATTATTTTCGTTGCTACTTCATAACTGTAATGTTGCTACTGTTATGAATCGTAATGTAAATATCTGATATACAGGATTGTCTTAGGCGACCCCTGTGAAAGGGTCGTTCGACCGCCAAAGGGGTCGCGACCCAAAGGTTGAGAACCACTGAAACAGAGAAATTGTTATTCTAGTCCCTTCCCATTCAAACCTCTTTTCCCTACCTACTTTCCTGTGGCCATCAATTAACATGGCTATAAAGTTAAATCATAAATTGTGACAGAAAACATGATTTTTAAAATTCACTAGCAAATAAGTTAGTTAATTTCTATTTCACAAACATTTACTATTTAAGGAAAAGTAACTTCTGACATGCAAAATTACTCCACAGAGAAAGCTTTATAGTAATTTCATACAGAAAGGACTCTTTCCCTGCACATCAATCCTCACTGAGGCTATTCCGTATCACTAACTACCATGTTTACTCCATAGCTGGGGAGACAGTAAAATCTGAGGCCATGGTCTAATGCAGCCGTGGGCAAACTACGGCCCGTGGGCTGGATCCAGCCCGTTTGAAATGAATAAAACTAAAAAAAAAAGACCATACCCTTTTATGTAATGATGTTTACTTTGAATTTATATTAGTTCACACAAACACTCCATCCATGCTTTTGTTCCGGCCCTCCGGTCCAGTTTAAGAACCCATTGTGGCCCTCGAGTCAAAAAGTTTGCCCACCCCTGGTCTAATGAATCCATGGCAAATATTAGCCAGAGAATACTCTCATATTCCAAGACCTAGCCATTCAGGTTTTCAAAAAATTCAACTTTACAAGGAGTGACTTAGCCAAACTTTAGCACTTGAGGCATTTTCCACATTTAACCGCACCACTGATTTCAACACTCTGGAGAGCAGTGAGCACCTCAGCAGGAAAGCCACCACGCAGTCGGCGTCCTGGTTTACAGCAAAGATGTGTCCCATCAAGTTCTCTGCTCTGGGCATTTGTGGACTATTGGCTGACAGTAATGACAACCTTGTACGTGTGCATTGCTTTCTTTGAATCACTTTGTCTTTACAGTTCAGACTTTTGGAAGAGGGTTTTTTGGAGAATTAAAATGAAAAGTTCAAGCACATACATTGAGTACTGGTTTAGTATAGAACTGCATAAATAAATTTCAATGAGAATCACATTTTTGAGAAATTATGTTATCATGGGTCTTTTAGAAGTGAATACTCTTCCCAAGGCAAAAGATGACAAAAATCAGCATGGTTATTTCTATATCACCATGATTAGGTACATTTCAAAATTACTGATTTGCCTGAAATAAACATATCCTGTATCCTGTAATCATTCCAAGAATTCAAACAAAAAGCCTATTATAATAATAAAACATTTAAAAAGAAAGAGACTAAAAGAAAATACCCAAAGTCTTAGATGAGGAGTCAGGGGCTCTGGTCCTGGTTTAGCCTCACTAACTGGCCATGTGCCTCAGGAGGTATTTATAGTGAGGGTGAGCCGAAGTGTTTGACAGCTTGATGGTTCTCAAATGCTTCGCTACTTTTCTAATTTTTCTCCCACTGACCAAATTTGAAAATTTTGTCCTCTCAACAAACTTCCTTTACTACAAACCTTGTTTTTCCACTTTCATGAAAGAATTTTAACTGCCAATCAGAACTTCTAGTCAGCAAGAGATAACCACAATGATTTAACAGTGGTCTACCTATAAAATTCTCTAATTCTATAAAAGTGTCTTTCAAATAAAAAATTCAAGTAGCTGAGTTTTAACTACAAAAATAAGGCATCCCAATGTTTATACAGCACACTGAGAGGTTTTTTAAAAAATATTTTTATCTTTTCGTTAATCCTCACCCGAAGATATTTTTTCATTAATTTTTAGGAAGAGTCAAAGAGAGAGGGAAAGACAGAGAGAAACACAATGATTGGCTGCATCCTGCACGCACCCCAACCAGGGCCCAGGCTGGGGAGGAGCCTTCCACCAATGTACGTGCCCTTGACTGGAACTGAGCCCGGGACCCTTTGGTCCGTAGGCTGATGCTCTAGCCACTGGGCCAATCTGGCTGGGGCACACTGAGAGTTTTCAAAGCTCTCTCATGCATATTAAATCATAACAGATTTATAATGCAGAAAGTACAGGCGTGGGACCTTCCGGCTTAAGCTTTAAGTGACCACCCAAAATCACACCTTTGTTAGCTGGCTGGGTGGGACTGAAATCCCAAATATTTAAGTTCAGTCTATAATGTACATGAATTCTGTAAGATAAACCTCAACCACAGAGACCCTTGGAGCACTTCAGAATCACCTGTGTTACCTTAATGTTTTTAATGTGAGACGCTGCCTTCGCAAGGGCTTTTTCGGAAGATTTGTCCAGTAGAAACTCAATGACAGCATCTTTGTTATAAAGTCTGCAACAATAAAGATTAGTCAAAACATTCTGGCAACAATTAACCTTCACACGAAGGATGAAGACTATATTGAGTACAATCCAAAGTCATTTTACATTTGATAACAGAAATGCCCAGCCTTATTCAAAAGGTAAGTGTAATCCTCTCTCAACTATTTCCAGAACATACAAAGAAAGAAACTAGTTTAAAATCAAGTGCTCACACTGGCAGTCTGAGGGCTGAATGTGACCTTAACAAGGATTTCAAAAATTGGGAAATTTAATATAAAAGTACATATTTTCAACTTTTCCTGGATGAAAATATAAAATCAGAAGTTCTAGAGCCACCTGGCTCACATTCTTGAACTGCAACTGGCTGGAACTGAGTAGCAGCTATCCCTGTAGATGGGACATGAACTCTCCAGTTTCCCCCAGTTCCCATCATTCCCTAATGACTCACATGGCTCCTTCGTGTGTTTATGTTTATAACTCAGCTATTAATCTCCGAGTTTTCAATCCATGGATTAAATAAACCAAAGTGAACAAGTTTGCACAGAATTATGTTCACAGGGAATGATAACCTAGGTTTCACAAATTTGCTTGTGGTAATTCACATTTGATCAATCAAGAACTGCATTTACACATTAAAATTCTTTTAAAAATCATTTAATAAAAACTCATCTCAACTAAGAAACCATACCTGCCAAGTTCACAGGCAACTATTGGTCGCCTTAGTATTTCTTGACTTAGAGCACAATAGTTCCATAGAGCCACCAGTTCAGCATCTTTGTCAACCTACAAAGAGAAAAAAAATCTTTTTAATTAATTTTCACCTCTGAAAGACATGATCCACAGATCTCCACATAAAGGCTTATACAGTAATATCACACTATGATGATTTTTGGTTTTCACAAAGATAATGACACAAAAGTTGGGATGTAAAAAGTCATAGTAATCAATACTATGTGAAATAAAGTCCCCTGTAAACACGACACCTATGACAAAACAGTTTACCTCGCATTATTATATTGCCTATGTAGGCTACATATAAATATAATATTTGCATCTTAACAGTAAGTTAGGGAAGCCATCCAGAAAAAGCAAACAGTCCAGTTTCACTTCTAACAATGGGAAAGGCTCCAAAGTTTTAGCAGAATATAAGGATGGAAAACTGAGAAGACAGGCATTATTATTTATAAATTTAGCACAAAGACTATTTAATTCTGCATAAAATCACCAATTTAACAGAAGTGTTTTTTGCAGACTGTTCACCAGGGGGCATATCAAATCCTTAACCACAGTATGAAAATGCAGATGTAAGACCATAACCTTCTAATGATAGTTTTACCTATATAATATTCCATGTCCCACTCTTTCCCCCTCCTAAAATGCCAAACCTGAATAATGTAACAAGATGGCACATTTGGGAGAAAAGAGAAATAGAAAAATAAAAACATTCCTTTAAAGTTGATTTTTTTGAAGCAACTACTGTGTCTGCTGTGCTAAGTGGTATAACTTAATCTTTTAATCCTCATAAAACCTATGATTCAGTATTTTTACCTTTGTTCCTGAGGAAAGTGAGGCACCAAAAGGTCACCGAGCAAATAGATGAAGGAGCTAGGATAAGAGTGGGCTGGCTCCAGAGACCATGCTTTTAATCACCGCTGTCTATTATTTCAAACCGAACCAAACCAAACCCACATTCCCGCAACTGTTATTCTATCCATACCCCGGATCCAAAGCTACACGTTGGCAATTTAAATAGCTTTTATCAAAATTCGCACTGTAGTGGAGCACAAGTCAAATACTGCCTGAGCCTTCTACTATCAAAAAGCAATGACTAGGCTTAACTTTGAAAACCTGAGCACATGAATGGGATTCTTGGTTCCATTACCCACGGGATGTGAAATCTTGGTCATGTTACTGACTCAATTTCCCGGTCAGTAGTATGGAAATGACATATGATGTGATCAATTACCTGTGCGCATTAGGAACTCTTTATATTGTTTTTAGTGTGCTAGGAACTGTGCTACTTACAGAGCGGGAGAAGG